AAACCCACGAGCACAGCTCAGGTGATGACAAACCTAGAAACATAATCGGGGCGAACCGGGATTCGAACCCATAATCATAGGTTTCTGGCGTGCCCAAGGGACGCAACTCTCGCAATGAAGCAAGATGCACAATGTGATAAGGTGAAATTGGTAATCGTATAAAGGCACTTCGTACAAGGTTAGATCATTAGACTTAATTTATGTGTATGTTTATCATATACTGGGAAGGTTTCTCGGCAGGATAAATCCAACGGCGTGCCTAAGGGACGCAACTCTGTACAGTAAATCGCGGCACCTTAGACGACTGGGCCCCTTCATTTTCGTGAAAACAGTCGAGTTTTAAATAATGACAATATACAGGCCTTCTTTTGGTGTTCAGTTAACAGCGCAACGCCTGAAACATGGCGGACGTCTTTGGGATTCCGTAAAGATTCTCTATGTCAGTTTGATATTATTTATTATATTTGCTTGGGCCTAAGAGTTTAGGTAACTGGTCTCACACTGTGAGTATGGTTTAAGTGTTTTGCAATACTCTGGTCGTATCGCGGCGAGGGTCACCAATAATGTGTTGCATCACTTAGTTTACTGATGTGTGGCGCTATCTAGAAGACTTCATTGACAATGTTTGCTTGACTCACTCCTGTTGTGGCGGTTGTACGTTACTGATACAACAGTTACCGTTTAAGAATGACCGCCATTGACAAATCCTTATGACGAACAAATAGTTTGCAAATCAAAATAGATCACTGCTTGTAAAACACGTACCATAACATTGCATTCATAATCGTGGTAGTCTACAAGCTACATATCCTCACTGAAACACTGATCTCTTATTCATGGTAGACTTGAAACTTTGTATCCCAATTGAAACACTGATCTCTTATTCCTGGAAGACTGCAAGCTATGTATTCCAATTGGAACACTGATTTCGTATTCCTGGTAGACTACAAACTATATATCCCTACTGAAACCCTGATCTCGTATTCCTGGTAGACCACAAGCTTTGTGTCCCAATTGAAACACTGATCTCGTATTCCTGGTAGACCACAAGCTTTGTGTCCCAGTTGAAACACTGATCTCGTATTCCTGGTAGACTACACGCTACATGTCAGTATTGAAACACTGATCTCGTATTCCTGGTACACCACACGCTATATGTCCGTATTGAAACACTCAACCCTCTATTCCTGAATGACTAAAAAGTAACATCTCCGTATTGAAACGCTTATCACTCTATTGTTGAATGACAATAAATTATATCTCCGTATTGAAACACCTAGCTCCCTATTCTTCATAAAATATAAAATATATCTCTGTATTGAAACGCTTACCTCCCTATACCAGATAGACTATACACTATGTCTCTATATCTCAGTATTGAAACACGTATCTCCCTATTCCTGATAGACTATGAACTATATCACACTACTGAAACGCTGGTCCCTTATTCCCCACGGATTGAAAGCAGAATCTATCTACGCGAACACTGGTACCCTATTCCCGATAAACTAATAGCTACATCCGTCTATTCTCCAGAGACTACTGGCTATATCTCGATATGAACCAAGCTATATCAACTATAAATGGCTTCTTGTGTCAAAACAGAGGTTCCCTGTATATGCAAGCGAGTTTCTTTCAATAATCAATGGAGCATATGAAAGTTGGATATATTTGCTGGGAACACTGTCGGGACGGTCGAAAAGTTACTTTTGAAACATTTTTTAGCAAACACGTTGGCAGTATGCATTTGTTTGGAACACTAATGTGACTTCTTTTGTGAGGAAAAGTTAGCGTTATATGTTTCCGAAGAACACTGAACAAATAAGTTTGAATGATACATGATGCGCCTAAAGAGCAAACTGAATTGATCAAATTGTCACGATGTGTTACACTACTGTTGTTGCTCACATTATCAATCATTCGTTTGTGTGACCCAAACCCGATTATTTTAAGGCCACTGTAAAATAAGTGATATACGTGATATAAGAGAAATGTCTCGTTGAGGTGAAAACAATCACTCACTCACTCAATATCCAAATATGTTGGCATGGTATATTTGCTCTGGAACACGTTCATAGGTCACGCGTGATATACGTTTGCTGTTATACAGGTATGTTGACCTGATATATTTGCTGGGAATACTTTAATGCAGGTGAGTAGGTGGGTTATACATTTACCAGGAACACTTTAATTCAGGCAAGTCGGCATGGCAACTATGTACAGGTTGACATTATATACAATGTCATGTACTGGAACACGGTCATGCGGTATCGCGTTAATGCAAGGCTCTGGTGAATTCAGAGTTATGTTGTCATAATACATTGGATGGAGGAGAAGTATCACATTTTAACTGTGGTAAAGCACACACGTTATATGTTATGAATAGCACATCAGTTACCTGGCTAAAATGAAACGTTGGGTGTCCAGTCGATCAGCGCCACCTGGTTGACGGTAATCAGTGGAGGTGTGATTCTACAGATTCTTTGTATATGCATCTTTTGGAGTTATTAACATAAGGCATTGACCTCATATTGACAAGGGCGGTCGTGTAGAAAGGTGGTTAAAGCGTTTGCTCGTCACGCCGAAGACCCGGGTTCGGTTCCCGACATGGGTACAATGTGAAGCCACTTTCTGGTGTCCCCCGCCGTGATATTGTTGGAATATTGCTAAAAGCGGCGTAAAACCATACCACACATTGTACCCATGTCGGGAATCGAACCCAGGTCTTCGGCGTGACGAGCGAACGCTTTAACCACTAGGCTACCCGACCGCCCCTCTCGCAATGAGTGAGTGAGTGAGTGAGTTGGGTTTTACGCCGCTTTTAACAGTTATCCAGTTATATCAAGGGGTGTCAGCTTAATGTGGGAGGAAAGCCCGAAGTGATGCAGGTGTCAGACGTTTACCACTTCGGTGAAACCCACGAGCACGGGTATGGTGTTGACAAACCTAGAAACATAATCGAGGCGAACCGGGATTCGAACCCACAATCATAGGTTTCTGGCGTGCCCAAGGGACGCAACTCTCGCAATGAAGCAAGATGCACAATGTGATAAGGTGAAATTGGTAATCGTATAAAGGCACTTCGTACAAGGTTAGATCATTAGACTTAATTTATGTGTATGTTTATCATATAATGGGTAGGTTTCTCGGCAGGATAAATCCAACGGATAAAAAACTATATCAGTTGGGGTCATATGCGGATAGAGATGCAAATATCAAAGGTCAAGTATGGATTACTTTCAGTGTTTACAAACAAACCAGACGTCTTCCTTGTCAATCTGCGATCCCGTCAGAATTAACCATCGGGAATCTGGAGAAACTACTGGGAAAACTGCTATCATTATTTAAAGAATTGTCTGACAGACAGAAAGTCAGTGTCTAACTATTACGTAGCTAAGACATTATACACGTTTTGGCATTTTGGGAGACATAAATTACGAACCAATTTAGAGGACACTAGACTAGCGGGATCAGTTTCTGTATCTGTGCTTGTAGACCTCGGGGGCTTAGAACCTTTTCCCCAAATTGAAACAGTTGGATTTAGCAGAAATATATTACCTTGTTTCGTTTTGTCGCTATGTGTACATCTGACTGCACTTCGGAACCTTATGACGGGACAGGCAGACTCTAAACAAACCTGACGTCTCATAGACTAGGTTTAGAGTAGCTTCCCTTTGATAAAGGGCAGTTACTCTAGCGGACAGATCGATGGATTGCCGCGAAAGACAAGCAGAAACAATTTGTGTAGCCAATTGTTGATTTGCCTATATGTAGTTACGCCGCTGTATAAGAAACAGGTTTCAGTTGGAACTATATTGACTGTAATGACATTCCAGGGACAAATGCAATGTTCAGGTAATGTTTATGAAAGATAGGAAGAGATTTTTCGAGCACAGAATTAAAGAATGATATATGATAAAGAGGTTATCGCGCGTATGTGTTTGGGGATGGTACATATCCTGTATTAGGAATAAACGCTATGTATTTAGCTCGCCAATATCCTAATACAGGATACTTACCGTCCCAAAACAGACTCGCGTGATAACCTCTATATACACGCTAACTGAAGGTGAGTCTGGTAATCTTCATAGAGGTGAATGTACGCTAACAATATGCACATAGCGGAGATCGATAGTCCCTAGAGACATAAAGATACTAATTATAGGTGAGATGGGCAATGAGTGAATTAGTGAGTTTGCCTTTACGCCACTTTGAACAATATATCAGTTAAAACATGGTTGTCAGCTTAACGTGTGAGGAAAGCCCGAAGTGATGTAGGACGTTTAAAAACTTTGATGAAACCCACAAGCACGGGTATGGTGCTGACAACAAGAAAGCATAATCAAGGCGATCCGGGATTCGAACCAGCCGTGACAGGTTTCTGGCACGCCCAAGGGACGCAACTCTGTACCGCGAATTGCGGTGCTATATCCGACTGGGCCATCTGTGCTCCCATTGATTTGTGTTAGATATATACTGATTCTAACTAGAGGTGAGATGGGTTGTTTTTGTATGTATATATACTGATGCTAACTAAAGGTGAGATTGGTTGTTTTTGTATGAACGTATCCACATACAGGTATACGCATATGTGCTGATAAATGGTGAGCTTTGTAGTCAATACAGAGATAAACAAACTAGCCTTGGGTTATTTTTTCATAGAGATACACACGCTGGCTATAGGTGCGGCCGGTGAACGTTATACAGATATGCATATTAGATGTGGTCTGTAGTTCTTATAGAGCCACACGTGGTGAAGAACATCGAGAGTCTGTATAGAGACACACGTGCCAGGTGAGATCGTTATGGTGATTAATGTGACTCGGAAGTGATTGCAGAATTCACATGGTCAATTAAACAATGCCGACCTTCAGCCGAAAGTCACATGACAGTCACGTGAAGCATTCGTTAGTGGCGCCAGATTAGGACTGTAATTAATCGATACCACTCTAGTCAAGACGCCGGCTTCAGGACAGTCCAGGTTCGAGAGCCTTGATCTGGGAATAAATAGATAGTTGAGTAGTCTGATTGGATATAAATATGTGATAGAGGTAATGATTGTAGTGCTGTGCAGTGGCGTGTTGGCGTAGCCGGACAGCACGATAGCGCCACTGACAGCGCAGGTGTGGGCCGCGTGCTCCCGGGGACTGAGCACTCAAACAGCCTGTGCGTGTGAGGGAGGCCAGGAACGCGGCTGCTAACTCGGGAAATCTCAAGCCCCCATGCAGACGAGGAAGTCACACCCTTGCGCTGGATGTAGTGTCGTACCCGAGGGACGGACTCTTACGTTTCCACATCTTCTGGCCACCTCAAGCACGTGTCTGCCTCCATCCTCCTCCAGGACCTGTCCTCTTCGATGGACGTCATCTCTTCAATTTGCTCACTTTGGGTGCGTACATTTATTGTATGTCATTACATGTGTTTCCTGCAGCAAGGGGTGGCAGCTGAAAGGCGCCACCAGTGATTTCCCTCACAATGTTAACGCCGTGCGCATTGTCCACCCAACGTCTGTTGTAGAGGGCAGGTAATGCTTGTGTAAAGAGTATTGATTTCCAAGCTTTGGGAAGAGACAGGCGAAAGGGCACAGAGGATTCCTCGCTCGCTGACACATCATTCTGCGATGGTATGCACACTCAACGAGAGTTATTGCAATTCATAATACAAACACATTGTATGGGCTTTGTGGTACTCGATACTAAGCGGTTGTATCTCCATACTATCTGGTTCCCGCCCCCTTTACACTAATCTCCTCGTGTACTAACCAGTGTACCAGGTATTCTATATGTTCATGCCGCACCTTAGAATGATCAATGGGACTCATAACAACAGTCAAACCCCCGCATACATTGTCAATTACAATAGTTACTCCTTAAACACATTTCCAATATGTTCCAGGGAAATATTTTTTCCATACCAAATGAACCCCTAGATGACATTTGATAGGGTTTTGCTGCAAGTGCTGTTGGAAGTGCTGTTGGAAGAGTTATAAATAGGAATCGAGACGCTGTCAGTGCCTCGCCGGTGGGAGGGTGTACATGGTGGTAAGTGTCTCGTTCTGCCGTCACTGACGAGGTGATCACTGTGTATGTAGTTGATGTTGCACCCGAGTATGTAGCTACAATGTACCAGGACAAACCTTAATGCCGTACGTAGGCGCAGGCTTGTTGCGATCACTGGCTAGATTGTGCGTACGTTGTAGTACTGCTCACAATATTTCATTGTCTTGCTAACCGTTTGGTTAAGCTAACGCCGTACCTTTTTGTGATAAGTTACACCTTTTGACAACTTGGTAGATGGTGCTTACTTCGTATGTTGTTTCACAATGTCTGGATAGCCTTGTAATGGTTGTTACGTTGGACGTATTGTTAATAGTGTCCCTATGTACGACTGGCCGTTAGATTTTGTGTCGGTCGTACGTATATGTACTGCTTATACTCTTACTCTGTCGGTAGCCGTTAGATGTTGCGTACGTCGGCCGTACTGCCCACAGCGTCACTATGTCTATCTGTTATATGTTGTGTAAGTCGTACGTATTGCTAATACTGTTACTCTGTGTGGCTAGCCGTGAGACGAGCGTACGTCGTACGTATTGTTCAAAATTGTACACTGTCTGGCTAGCCCGTACGTGGCGCACCCCTGTGCGATATGCCGCTTTACCTCGTAAAGCACCGTTGTCTTCTGACTCTGACTTCACGACATTGTCTGTGTACGTTTCTTCTGGTCGTTTAAAACATCGTCTTGATTTTCAAATTCAAATGTAGGCCCAAAATGTGTGAGTGAGGTAGCAATGTGGCGTCGTTATCAGGCGTAAGTCCAAATGAATAAATGTTGTTGGAAACCAATCATTTGACTGACAATTATAAGACTGACATTTTGTCTGGCAATTCCTTGCAAACCAAGGTGATTGGATTTGTATATGTAGCTGAAATCCTCATCTATACCTGTCTGCCATACATAAATCTGTCATTGTGTTCTTAAACCATCGTATGAGAAACCGCCATGACAGCTGGTTTGAAACTATGTTGATTGACAAAAACAGTTTGAAATGTGTTAAGTGATCCTCGTCAGTAAGCTACCATTTACCAACCACCACACTGCGACAAGCCGCTCTGCTAAGAGCATCACTGTAGGTCAGATGATGGTTGATTTGTATGAAGCCATGAAAAAAAACCCACTTCACATATGCATGTGGGCGATACGTACTCTCCTGAAAAAAATGTGTTCAGGTATAAAAACAACATGTTTGACAAGTTAAGCTCCGAGCGTGTATGGTATTGCGGTTAAATCCTGAACGGAACAAAGGTTGTGCGCGATTTATCTAAACACGTTTAGGATCTCAGCACATGAAAGGAGTTAGGATTTCACTAAATTCCCCAAACATCCACAAACGGTTCGCCTGTAGAAGACTAAATATTATATATCCTAAACGTATTTAAGTTATGAACATACAAACGTTTCATACAAATCTACTGTCATTTTAATCGGTATATCACACGTATGAATAGTCCTGGGAAAGTAGGAGAGTGGGTGTAACGGCGCTGGGAACGTATTCCAGTTAAGAGGAACCTTGAGAAATTCCATCACATGACAATTAAATCAGAAAATTTATGTTTTCATATAATTTTCAAGTCTGAAGGTAATATTCTAAGTAATCAAACAAATAATAATATTTTTATAATACCATCGGATCCAAATATATTTAAACGTTCTCTGTATATACTATTGGTTTTTGTTTTGCTTTGGTAAATATAGCACCGTGCAAGAGTCAGGCATTGTAGAAAGGTACTTATTAAAACCGACATCTTGAATTCTCCGTTGATGCTATCGTATTGTACCTTTTTTGCCTTCTTAACCACCCAAGAGCAACTATTCCAGTTAAACTTCTTGCCAAAACTGCTTCACGTTTAAATCAGAAATCTACCTATTCTTAGCAGCGTTTGGTTCTCAACACGCTTAGATTACGAAAACATTTATATAATAAACAAAAGTATAAACATGTTTAGGCCTCTGAACGCGGTTACGGTACTTGTACTACAAGGAGCGCCATGTGGTTTGTGTTCAGGATCTGAAGACATTTTTACAGTGTATGCAAAATGTCGCACCCCTTAACAAGATCGTTTGCATTGTGTGCAGACGGCTCCAAAATTCGCATATCCCAGATTTAAATTTGTTTTCCCCCTAACAAAGGTGTTGAGTGGTTAAGCGTTTTCTCGTCACGACGATTCACCACATGGATACGCGGCATAAAGCCATGTTTTCGTGTGTCGTGTCGTAAATAAAGTCATAGTGAAACAATACTCTTTCAATAAATTTCCATACAAGTCATATGGGATTTGCATCGCCGAGGTCGTCGGCTCCAGTTTCATAATTGAAGACCCCCATTAACATCCGGGTTAAAGCTGGTCTTCATCAACCTATGCTTGTCGTAAGAGCCGACTAACGTGATCGGGAGGGCAGGCTTGCTGACATTGTTGGTGCACGCCACCATATTCCAATTGCGTGGATAAAACAAACAAACAAGCAAACAAATAAACAAACAGAAGCTAATAACCACGTTCATATTTTTATCAAGTATGCATTTATTTTATACAATACACAGTAAATACCCTTCGCGGCCATGTCATGAAGTATAGCTGACAGGGCGATACAATGGTACCGACAACCATTGTGCCTTTGAACATTATTACAAATTATTTGCTAGCTGCTTATTTCGATTCACTACGGTAATTATTATGAAAATATTAGTTTTGGAATTCTCAGAGCAACACAGACTGTGATTGTTTGGGAAGAATATATTGTTTCATACGCTTATGTTTTATCACGCTGGAAACTTTGCAATAATCTGGAGGGCAACCGAAAAACGTGCCCAGCACTGTTAAATTCTGAACCCACACGCTGTAGTGTATTCTAACAAAGCGTCTCGTACCTGTAGATGCTTTAGATCTACACGATAAGCACGTGCATAGTTCGTCATGCCTACCATCCACTGTTATATAATGCGCTCCAGATCTGTTGAAGTCATCTGGATATCTGACTGTACTGCTTTGTAGAACGACAAGACTGAAGGGAAAGAACAACATTTGCAACAATAATGCTGGTATCTCAAGTAGAAGAAAGTCTGTTGTTGAATCAATGATAATTGCTTTCGTTTTTTTTATTCTATCTAACCGTCTCACCGTTACCGAACGAGACACGTCTGTGGACAAGATCATATGCAAATTGTTGCTCGCAAGGGTTTTCCAAAGAAGTGCTCGTCTCTCGAGTCTGGCTCCCGGAACTTATGGAGTGCCTCACGCGACAAAAGCGCGGTGTCTGTGCGGGGGATATTAGACGCAGTCGGAATCCCCATACATTTAATTGACGGACATTTTTGTTTGTAAAAGGCAGAGTAAAACAATAAACCCAAGCCCGAGGTGATGAATAAAGCATATGTGCCATTCAATAACACACCATGAACTGCATTTTAGAAAACATCCATTCGTGTTGCAACGATGTGCAACAGGAACACGCGCCCAGTGAATTCAGATTGAAAAATTCCGACCTAATGTTGGTAATTTTGAGCGAACAGATTTTGGGCGGTGTATAATTTTGTGACTGCAATAGAACTGAAGACGTGGTTTAAACATCAATGTAGCTTTTGGTATAACATTCTTTTATGCTTGATCTTGATGGATTGTAATCTTTGAGAAGCTCACTCAGGTCTTCTGGCACTATGCCATTCATAGACTGGTGTCAGAGACAAGATGCTATACTCAAGTCTTCCTGCCAAAGGCAATCAGTAAAAGGACATCCGTGTGACTGGAGCAGCAAGACGGTCTAGAGACAACACCAGGAGCTCTGACCTCTGCCTTCTCACCAGCTACATGGTGTCATCACTGTACGCTGATTCGTGAGAGTAGCTGGTTCATGATTTTTATCCTTAATTTTGTTCCCTTAGTATTTTTTCATTGTAAGAGAGATGCGAATACGATTCCTCCGAAGGCCATGGTGTTTAATTAACTCCTCACACGTTCAGTGTGAGATCTAAAAAAACCCACATTAAGCAACGGTCATGGTATATCAGGACAATAGACTTCAGCTGTTCTTGTTTTCTGCGTATGGAAGTCAAGTGTATCAGTTTTGTGATTTTTGCTCAGGAGCACTGAACATTACTAACGAGAAAATGGACATGCTTTCTGTTTTATTTGCTGTTTGAGTTGATAATATATCGTTGTTTCACTGCTCAATTAAGCTCTTAGAATAAATACAATGTACATGTTTTTCTGATCATATTTGACCTAGAATGTCACGAAACGTTTTGCGAACTACAAAATGGGATATGTCCATATTTGTGATGAATATATTTTATTACTCACAAAATAGGGCAAAATATTTATGAGCACTGAGATAGGGGATGGCAATGTTTTCATATGACATGATCATATGTTTCAACTACCAGACTGTTCACATATAGACCATTACGTTATGTATGGACATTTAGAATACAGTATGACCATGTGTGGATCCTCTATAGTGTCAGTTGCAATATTTATGTATCTCCCAGATGAGGTATGACCATATTTTCGAACGCTCAAATAAGAAATGGAAATGGAGTTTCTGACGTCTTCATAGATCATGGTCCTGTTTGTGCTGATCCCCTGATAGGTTATGACTATTTAAGTACAAGCTCAAAGAATAAATATAATGTATGCACATGTATGTGTTTATGACGGGGGGCGGCCATGCATTTTGTCAGTGTATTAGAAGGTACGTGACAAGCCATCTGACATCAGGTCAGGAGATAGTATGTATCTTGGCACAATCATCTTCACTTCCGGTTTTCCCCCATATATAGCTGACTCGCCGTGATATATCTGAAATACTGTAAACCCAACTCACTAACTCGTTGCACATATATGGGAAACCATTTTAACATAAAACGTCAACACCACAGAATAACCAGTCTCGGTTATCTGCCGAAACATATTCCACTGGGCGTGAATGCAAAATAGTGGTGAACGTTATATGAATGGATCACTGGAGATCAGCGATGACATCAGATGTTCGCGAAAAGGGTGAGCATTTCTTGTGAGTAAATGGAGGGTTGGACGTATTTCAGTAGGCGTGGTCTGTATATTTAAACCAGCTTATGCAAATACATGGTATATATGATATTATATATAACACATCATGGGTTAGCGGGATCGGCATCACTTATCTTTTCAAACAGAGAACATCAAAGAATCTTAACGAATATATTTGCAGTTGTTAAGTTATGTTCTTGTCATGGCCTTTGCAATCTAACATATTTCCACACGTCTGTTGGCAAGTTCTCTCACCACGACGGTACGTGTAGCATGTATGAGAACGTCCTCCACATGACAACCAGGCTCGTCACCGATGATGTCGCTGCTACTGCTCCGGGCCTCTCAACACATTGCTGTCGCATCACGTTCGATGGCGTAAAAGGAATGCTTGAGGTATTCTCTGTCACTTTGCCACTGCGAATTAAGCAAAGTACTGCTGCCGGGAAAAAGCTTGTTACGAAGTCTCTTCCGTGGTGCCCTACATGCAGCTCATATCGTTTAAGAGTAACATCCTCCACTCTGTGTTGTCTGGCACTGGAGCCCCGCAAAGCTCCGGCATCTCTGGCCCGATATTGCCATGGCATAGCGCTGCTATCCCTCTCCATTGCACCATCACCAAAGCGGTTCTTGTTGACGTGTCTCGTGTAGCCAAACCGACAAGATTCAATCTTGTCCATCACTGATCCTGTGTTCTACCCATCGTGATCATATCTCCCTCATAGTACACAAAATAGGTGATCCCATAGTCTTATAATGCAACATTCGAGCGTCTTGTATAGAGTACATGGTCTGAGATTCCTTGAACACTACCCTCCAACATTGACACAATACAATATTGCACCACACCGACCCACTCTTCAGGATTCTATGGTTGATATGCCAAAAAAGTGCACAGTCATCATATATCCGTCTTGGCTTACGTGTTTATCTTTGACATATACTTGGTGAAGCATTTAACGTTTTTTTGCGAGAACAATTGATTTACTTGACACAACTCTGTCCCTTTTGCCACTCGAAGAGGGTAAGGAATTAGGATTATAATACACCTGGTGATATCTTCCAGTTCCAAGTGATGACGTTTCTTTTCGTTTCACATGCCTTTGATATTTTCCTATACTGGGGCTTGATATTGTTTGACGCCGATGCTGGTAACACATGACAGACGAGACAAGGAGATATTGCATGTTTATAGTTGAGGCTGTCAGAGACATGGGTTGTGTTGAAATGGAACTGACAAGATAGGTTCTGAATGTATATTCGCATATTATTCCACGGCTATCCGCCAGTTAGAGGTCGACATTGTCTCCGCACGATCTGAATCTGGCACCATTGTGTTGTTACTTGAACACAGCTGCCTAGCAACGCCATTGTTTTGCTGTTACCATAACAACCTGAAAAGGGGTGATAATGTGATTACTGTGGCAATTTTGGTTGCTAATTGAACAACCATAACCCGACAATAAGAAGGAGTTACTGGGACCTAAAACCGATGATGTTCATGTCCTTGGGCAATTTGACAACACAAAATACAAATGCGAGGCGAGTATTGTTAATTGCTGGTGACACTGCTTGACTTTTTCTGGTTCGCTTTACACGCCATTAATTTGTGATATTGGGATCTGTAGAGTTAAAAAGTAATGAGATACAAAAATCGTTATTCACATGGTATTTATATGGTAATATATGTATTGCAGTAGGAACTTTATGATAGCTCGTTTGTTATCCGTTTGTTTGGCATATCCGTTATGGACATGTTCTATGTTGTATGTGACACGAATGTGTGATGAACGGTGTCACTTGTCTGTTGCGGTTTCTTTCAAAATCTTACACTCCTTAAGTGAACATAATGCCCTGACTTTGTTCCTGGAAGACCACGTGTAGAGTGAGTGGTTTAACGCCGCTTTTTTAAACAGTATTCCAGTTATATCACGGCGTGTCAGCTTAATGTGGGAGGAAAGTCCCAAGTGATGCAGGCCTCAGACGTTTACCACTTCGGTGAAACCTACAAGCACGGGTATGGTGCTGACAAACCTAGAAACATAATCGAGGCGAACCGGGATTCGAACCCACAATCATAGGTTTCTGGGGTACCCACGGGACGCAACTCCTTAGGCGACTGGCCACCCGTGCCCCCGACCACGTATGGAGTGTACTCTGTTCGAATACATACTAGTTAACAGCTAGTAGACAGTAAACGTCAAGTTAACAACATTTTCTTTTGTAGGACTGAGGACATTCCTCTTTTAGCGGACCACTGACGAGATGTTTGTGTACGGATTCCTGACAACGTTGCTGTTCTTTCTTAGCTTATGTGGTAAGTAATAAGGAAATAACATACGAATATATAGACAATAACATACACAATAATATGATCATCGTTCTTGCACGAAGACGCCCACACGCTTCTACACTCGACAAATACCACATTTGTATTCGCCATCACATTTCTCTGACATACGGACAATAATCCTGTATGGTTTTCCTTCAACGGGTCAGGAGGGCCTCGATCATGACTTCTTGTATGTGGTTTTGTCAATGTATATTGCTAAGTACATAATAGCTCATATATCCACCACCTAGTGTAACATAGCATGCATTGTTACCACCTAGTTCACCCGTGAAGATCCGGTGTAGAATAGCTCTTCAGCAACCCATGCTTGCCGTAAGAGGCGACTGTGTTTGTCGTAAGAGGCGACAGACAGGATCATGGTCAGGCTCGCTGACTTGGTTGATGCATGTCATCGTGTCCCAATTGCGTGGATCGATGCTCATGGTGTCAGGTACAGGTCCAGGGCCCACTTGCACAAAGCGATCTTAGCGTTAAGATGATCATAACTCCCATACTTGAACATAGGCTTACAATAGTTGTAGCGCTAAGATCGCTTTGTGCAAGTGGGCCCAGGTCTCATTGTCTGGTCCAGATTCGATTATTTACAGACCGCCGACATAAAGCTGGACTATTTGTTGCGTGCGGCATTAAACAACAAACAAACGAACCACCTCGTGTAACGTGGCATGTAATACACATTTTCACCACCTAGTGTATAATGTCTTGTGAAGACACATTTTCGCCACCTTGTGTAAAAATCCACCGCCTTGTGTAACACATAGTACATGAATAATTGTTATTAATATGACATGTACAACGTGTTATGAATTATATATTAGTATGATCAACTATTCACCACCAACAGCAACCTTACTATATTTACATTGATATATTTTTCAGATTCAAAACGTCCAATGCCTTCACTTTCCTATGAAGATCAGCTTGTGAAAGAAATCCTACACAAATACCGCGTGCGAGGCAAATATGGCCGTCCAGTCCGGCGTTTCAATGACACCCTGAAGGTTGCTTTTGGAATACAATTGATACAGATCATGGATTTGAATGAGAAAGACCAGATACTGACTTTGAACGTATGGGATCAGTATGTAAGTATATATAAAAAAACATCTCAGGCTGTCATTGTCTGGTACCACTGCGAAAGCACATATATGTATTCACGAGGCATGGGCACTGTATTTGATCAGTTATTACCATATATCTTTACTAAGCTGGCAAACCACTGGCACCAGTAAACATCTGTAAAAACTGTTCAAGTACATATCTCAAGAAATCACTTCCTGGAACCATTATGTAGGCACGTGTTCAGGGTCCTAATGAGTATCTGGTATTATTTATCCCACATCATTTAAGCACATGTCAGATGTACGAATGAGTATCTAAGACAGCTGGGACCACTGTGCTGGACCATGTCTTTAGGGATCAGATACAATGATATTTCAGTCATCTCAACTGACAGATACTTTATAAAACACACCGAATGTATAGTTTTATTGGACGATATTCAACACTCAGGTGGTGGTGTTAATATGTGCATTCATTAGAATCAAATCGCACGGACGCTCAGAATCATCGTCCTCTTTAACGTGCGTGTGTATGCGTATGATTTTGCGGTTGAGTGTGCGTGTGTATGGTGTGTCTTAAACTAGATAGTCACTGTGAACTTGTGTCAGGTGTTTGTCCGTCCATACAAAGTGTGTACAAAGACGGTTTCTGTACTATTATTTGGTTTCATAATGCACAATCTGAAGTATACTAATTTCCTTCACAGCCTAACAAGGTTGTTTGACCCAGGTTACAACATTCAAGGTCTCAGAGAAGCTTTCAAAAGGTTTCATGATAGACATGTGGGGAACATTTCCAAATTTGACGCATCAGTGACAAAATGATGTCCGATGACATTCCCCATGTACCATGTGTTCCCGTAATTTTAAGGTGAACTTTTGACATGCCTTTGCATGTGTTTGTGACGGGTGTCACCGATGGGGCAGGATACACTCACCTTTTCGCTAACACCTGGTATCATCACTATGTGATAGTGATTCATGCTTTATGCAGATATTTCTATGGAAAGGGATTTGTCGCTTTATTTATGGTTGGAACCCTGTAACGATTCCTGTCGTCAGAGGGGACATAATTTGGCATCAAGGGGCCAGGCTCGGTGACTTGGCTGATCGTGTATCATCGGACCCCGAGTATTTGGATCCTTACTGACTCAGATTAGAATATCTTCCGGCTGCCCTGATATAACTGGAATAATACTGACTGCAGCGTAAACCCATCATTATACTTGGTTATTATTTGACAGCAGCAGCATGAGTAACTGAGACATTATTGATGCGACTTTAAACATTATTCACTTTCTCATTAATTGATCCCAATCCATGCACAACGTGTTAGCTCCCCACAATCATATAGTCAGATATAAAATAAAATTCTCCCACCTCCCCGCCATCATATAGTCAGATATAAAATATAATTCTCCCACCCCCCACCATCATATAGTCAGATATAAAATAAAATTCCCCCCCCACCATCATATAGTCAGATATAAAATACAATTCCCCCCCCCCCCCCAACCATCATATATAGTCAGATATAAAATAAGATTCCCCCCCCCCCCCAACCATCATATAGTCAGATATAAAATAAAATTCACCCACCTCCCAACCATCATATAGTCAGATATAAAATAAGTTCCCCCCCCCCCCCCCCCAACCATCATATAGTCAGATATAAAATACAATTCTCCCACCCCCCACCATCATATAGTCAGATATAAAATACAATTCTCCCAGCTTCCCACCATCTTTTAGTCAGATATAAAAAAAATTTCTTCCACTTTGCCTAGCTGGTCATCCTACATTTACTAGCTCAATGGGAATGATTTCGAATGACTATTACTTCCTGGCTTCATTTTGTTATTGAGTGGTGATATTTTTTGTTTCTCAGAAATCACAACCTCTCACTTCAATCCGAATGGTGTCAGTTTTAGGTCAGCTTTTTCCGTTGCTTTCGAATAAACCCATGAGAGAAAGGCAACACTGCATTAATTGTTATGGTTAATAATTATCTGAAGGTCTAAACGTTATGTCGTAATCATATTAACTTGCGATATGTGTTTATACATGATTAATCTATTTGAGACATAAAGAGCTAAGATATTTAAGAGTTGTTTATCGTACAATCAAACAAGAAGCTTAAAAACTATTTACCCGTATTTGAATAATGATAAATCCCTGAATTTAAAACGATCTCGGCAATGTCGGACAAGTCTGTTTTATAAACCGGGGCTTAAGTTTCGTATTTCCCGAATATGTTTACAATTTCCACTTCAATTTTCTATACCTTTTCTCCTAATACCTATTTTCATGTCTCTTCCACTCTTTTATGCCATCGTTCGGGGCTTATCTGCGTTGCCCAGCTACATGCATGGGGAACAATTGGACACAAGACACTTCCCTTTGAAATATAACGTCGTCCAATACACGACGTCATCATGTTGCAAGCGCAGAAAATGATGTCATAATAGAATGTTTTGTCGCGAAATAAACCACGCTTCGTTCTTCATTGCTCTTTGCAATTTATCGCGTAGCTATCTTATATATGGTAAATAGCTGTGAGGTGAGGTGAGGTGAGGTGAGGAGAAATAGGATTTAACGTCGCGTTCATGATTATTGCACATAAAGTGCAAGCTGCATGCACGTGTGTATCTATATGCATGTGCGAGCGCGCGCGCGTGTGTGTGCATGCATGTCAGCATACGGATTTATAATGGCTCTTTAATAGTGCTAGCCCACTTGAATACCATACCGCAGTTGAACATGGATACTGACATCAGACACAGTATACAAGCCGACCAGTTTTATCCAATTCATACTGAACTGTTTGCAGGGTAAAACAAGTACCATAATGTAACTTTTGATAAAACGCGGCCGGGGATCGAACCGTTATATGTATGAACATAACACGAAAACTTTTAACCTGTTCATAATTAGTAATTAGGCGTATTGGCGGGGTGAACAAATTCAATCTTTGAAGAGAATGATTCAAAAGATTTATAGTTCTAAAATAAGTATGAACACGTATTCTTACAACCATTATCACGTATCCATCGATAAAGAGTGATCGTTACAAGTGGTACTCTGATTTGTATTTTAAGTTATTGTAAAGATCGAAGAACAGACAAAAATTGGAATAAATTTTGTGCCCCGCTATTTAAATGTTAGAATTGAGGAGGTCGATAACATTTGTAATTGAGTAGGGTGATAACATTTGTAATTGAGTGGGGTGATAACGTTAGTAATTGAGTGGGGTGATAACACGAGTAATTTAATAGGATCGCGGAAGAAATAATTGAGTAGGATGACACTATGGGAAACTAAGTGGAACATCGTTTCTTACCATTTCAGACTCTTTAGACAATCTGCAATATGAACGAACTTTATTAGATTATTAACAACTGATGAGGACTAATAATAAGCCACGTAGAAATACCATCATCACAGCAGAAAATATCAATTTGTATAACTTAGTTATGCGTCATTCATTTGACTTACCTAAATGGTCAAAGAGATCAAGGAGTAATGATCGTACCCCAATCACAGACGATTGCTTGCCAAAGTGTTTCTTAAAATGGAATCTCTTTGGAAAACATGTTATTCCATACAGGAAATGTACAATTATTAGACTTCAGTACTGATTTCTCAAACCTAATGAATATTTACAATGAAAAGATTGTTTGTGGAGAATTTTGTGAATAAGCCCTTTCGCTGAAAAGTTGCTACAAATGATCGCATATCTTTTGAATCCATATACGAGGACGTTTGGGAACTTTACACAATAGTAAACAATGTACACGTTGGAACTGTAAATCAGCTCATCGTGAGAAAATAGACCGGTTCATGAATATCAGATCTCAGAATCAGAATATGAATGCTATAGGCATAAACAGGAAATAGGAGTGATTTAACAACAAGAGTAGGATGAAATATGAGTACAACAACATAGACAACATCAGTAACTGAGAGAACGAAAACATTAACAACCATTAGAAAGATAACTTTAACAACCGGCAGAAGGACAACAATAGCAACAAATAGAAAGATAACTTAAACAACCGCCAGAACGACAACATTAGCAACAAATAGAAAGATAACTTTAAGAACTGGCAGAATGACAACATTAGCAACAAATAGAAAGATTACTTTAACAACTGGCAGAATGACAACATTAGCAACTGAAAGAATCACAACATTAGCAACTGATAGAATGACAACATTAGCAACTGAAAGAATGACAACATTAGCAACTGATACAGTGACAACATTAGCAACTGAAAGAATGACAACATTAGCAACTGATAGAATGACAACATTAGCAACTGAAAGAATGACAACTTTAGCAACTGATACATTGACAACATTAGCAACTGATACAGTGACAACATTAGTAACTGAAAGAATGACAACATTAGCAACTGATACATTGACAACATTAGCAACTGATACAGTGACAACATTAGCAACTGAAAGAATGACAACATTAGCAACTGATAGAATGACAACATTAGCAACTGATACATTGACAACATTAGCAACTGATACAGTGACAACATTAGCAACTGAGAGAATTACAACATTAGCAACTGATAGAATGACAACATTAGTAACTGAAAGAATGACAACATTAGCAACTGATACATTGACAAGATTAGCAACTGATACAGTGACAACATTAGTTACTGAAAGAATTACAACATTAGCAACTGATACATTGACAATATTCAGAACTGGTAGAATGACAACATTAGCAACTGAGAGAATTACAACATTAGCAACTGATAGAATTACAACATTAGTAACTGATACGAAGACAACATTAGAAACTGAAAGAATTACAACATTAGCAACTGATAGAATTACAACATTAGCAACTGATACATTGACAATATTCAGAACTGGTAGAATGACAACATTAGCAACTGAGAGAATTACAACATTAGCAACTGATACATTGACAACATTAGTAACTGATACGATGACAACATTAGAAACTGAAAGAATTACAACATTAGTAACTGATACATTGACAACATTAGGAACTGCTAGAATGACAACATTAGCAACTGATAGAATTAAAACATTAGCAACTGATACATTGACAATATTCAGAACTGGTAGAATGACAACATTAGCAACTGATAGAATTACAACATTAGCAACTGATACATTGACAATATTCGGAACTGGTAGAATGACAACATTAGCAACTGATAGAATTACAACATTAGCAACTGATACATTGACAATATTCGGAACTGGTAGAATGACAACATTAGCAACTGATAGAATTACAACATTAGCAACTGATACATTGACAATATTCGGAACTGGTAGAATGACAACATTTGCAACTGATAGAATTACAACATTAGCAACTGATAGAATTACAACATTAGCAACTGATACATTGACAATATTCGGAACTGGTAGAATGACAACATTAGCAACTGATAGAATTACAACATTAGCAACTGATAGGATGTCAATATGATCAGCTGGTAAAAAGGTAACATTAGCTACAGGCAGGATAACAACAGGGGTTATTCAGTAGTAATACAATGTTAGCAGCTGACAGTTTTAACAACTGATACAATGACAGTTTTATCAACAGGAGTACTTCAAGAGCATGACAACATTAGCAAGCGAGCAGAATGGAAAATATGAGTAATTGAAATGGTTTACAGCACTGAATAAGCTTGTTTTATTTTCAGGGATGGAGAGATGACGATGTTGAATGGAACATGACAAAATATGGAGGCGTGGATAAAGTCCGCATTCCCTGGAGCAAGGTTTGGTTGCCCGACATCAAACTGTACAACTAGTGAGTGTTTGTTGTTGTTTGCGGTAGAAATTGCACACCGCTAGAGTCATTCCTGCATGAAACAGATAAGGAATGTTCTTTACCCACTTTTTATATGTCGGCGCTGATGGAAATTACAAAGCAATACGTGTGCCAACTGAATGTTTTTTCTCGAGGCAGGCTGTGAGCCATCATCATTTACCGCCTCTAATTGAAAATAAAATATTAGAACTGGCTAACAGTATACACGTCACTCTGTCTTTCTTCCCACTAGATCATTGACCTTGAAACGGTACTTACCTATGTGGATATAACCTTTTATCTCCACGAGTAGCACTTGCTTTTAAACAAACTACATATCAATTCTGCAAGTTGGGCAATTCTACTGACGGCGATACCCCCCTGTATGTATATCATTGTATATCTCCACGGGAAAAGATTGGGCCTATTCTGTATTTATTTCAACCCAGAGTAGGTGGAGTAGACCATTTGGTAACTTGTTCGCTAGGCTCGCCGACAATCCAGGTTCGATTCCCCATATGGGTACAATGTGTAAATCCCATTGCTTGGTTTTCCCGCAGCGATATTGCTGGAATATTGCTAAAAACAACCATACTCACTCAGCGTTCTCAAACGGAGGTGTGTATATCATGAACTTACATTTTTGGCGAAGAGTATCATTTTTTCACTGGTATTTCAAATATAAAAATGTAGCAAACAATCGGAGTAAATTTGACTTTTCACTGAATCTTTGCTTCGAGTGATACATGTACAGAGGGAGATGTTGACGCTTTCTTTATCAAGACCATTTGTGCACCAGTCTTTTTGGTGGATTTCATTTTCGGTTTAATTTTTATTGATATCATGTTTGTCTGCAATGAACCTTCTATATTGATGCTGTCAATAATTCTCTACAATATGTTTTCGGCAGATAGTTTGTTGCCCTTTAAAGATAAAGTCAAAGGTTATCTCGTTCCTGTGCTGATTTAATGTTTTTAAATAGATGGAGCATAATGTTTAGAGTACCCAAATGTTGCTAGAAGGCGATGTCTTGTGGAATAGTGAGTGGTGAATATGCCCTACTTGAGTTGCAAGAAGGCGTTGTCTTGTGGAATAGTGAGTGGTGAATGTGCTCTATTTGAGTTGCAAGAAGGCGTTGTCTTGTGGAATGGTGAGTGGTGAATGTGCTCTATTTGAGTTGCAGGAAGGCGTTGCTTTGTGGAATAGTGAATGGTGAATGTGCTCCATTTGAGTTGCAAGAAGGCGTAATCATGTGGAATAGTTAGTAGTGAATGCGGCCCTTGTCATGGATCGGGGTTTCCACCATGAATTATGATGTCATCTTTCCGCGTGCATGTGTACCCGAGCTGATAATACTGGAGAATATTAGCGTGTAAGCGTGGTAGCAGTCAACTTATACATAGACTCTTATATGTTATCCGGGTTGATTAAGTTAGTGACTTTTGTCGATAGGTGTTTATGTTATTAAATTCTATCCAATATCATTCTCCTCAACTAGAAAACAATATTACAAATTCGATAATAATTTGATGTACAGAATCTATGTGAAATCAATACCTACATGCTGTACTTGCGCGTTGTTCTAAAATCATGGAACGAGATGTCCTGCGTTTACAGACAATGCAAACTGATCAGGAATATCATTTAAGTATTACCACCAATAAGCGGCGTCAGATTGTAGCGTTGCTATGCAGTGACGTATTTCGAACGATTTGATCTCATGCTCAATCAATTCCTCAATAACCAATGCGTTCGGTATTTCTTACGGCTATTTCATCCCAATGTTACACTAAAAATGTGTTTTTGAGTTTAAAATAGAAAAACTAGTGTTAAATTCGAACATTCAAACCTCCCGCTAATGTTCATGGCCACAAACCAATTGGTGATGAGGAAGCAATATCTTCCCTGGATAGCGTGTGTGGTGCCAGAATTAGATAATAAATATCCGCAGATAGCAAGCTTTGGAACTAACATGTATGTATCTACACATATCCACAGGAAGCGAGCCAGCATACTCCACTTGAAGTGCAACACGAATATGTGGCGCTATCACATTATCACTGTGGATGTATCAGTACCAGGGTTTCTTGGCGAATATATCTGTAGGGGTGGAGGTTGACCAGCATGTCAGTTGAATCGTTCAGTAGTTGTGTGACCTGACTGCCACACAGCTGGCTTTCTAGTTTATTTCCACTTCAGCTTACAATTATTTTTGGAAGCAAGGAATGCCAGTTTTTTATATAGCTTTGGTTGTTGAAACGGGAGCCTGTTTCTCTCCGAAGTTAAAGATGGATTCTACTTTAACAAACTGGTATATTGTGGTTGAAGCAACCAACTCATTTGCATGCAAGTACCGGACATGGTAAAATACTACGGATCAATATGGTCCTATCAAGTGACTACTGGCTGTCAGTTTTCATCCAACAGTCTACAACATTAAGTACATCAAGCAAGCCATTACAGGCCACCATGGTCCCTGTGCTCACAGAGCCGTCATCCCAGACCCAGCTTGGTGCCTTATCTGTATGTTGTAGACTGGTGACTGGGTGACATGACTTTGTCTCGACTAGCAAATATGTTGGAGAAAAAAGACTGGGTGGTATGCAATTTCTAATCGATCTGCAACTTGTTTTAGAATTATGACTGTGTAATATGTTACTGTCTCGACTGGCAACTCGTTTGTTGGATAGTGACTTTATGACATGCAACGTCCATTCGACTAGTATTATGTTGTAGAATAGTGACTGCATTACATACAAAGTCTACTCGACTGGTACTGTTGTGTACAATAGTGTCTGTATGACATGCGACTTTTGCACACTAGTATCATGTTATTGAATAGTGAATGTATGGCATACAACGTCTACACTACTGGTATTGTTTGCAGAATTTTGATTGTATGACATACGACTTCTATAAAACTAGTTTTATGTTGTGGCATAGTGAATGTGTGTCATCATGTGTTTTAGCCCCTTAATGACGAGCACCAGGCAAGGTAACAACAAGTACCATCTTTGAATGTCTTTTGGTATGGTGTCAATAAAATGTGCTTACATACTTTCGATCAAAATTTTCAAGTCTGAAATGTACCTTGTCCCTGTCAATGTATACAGCGCCAACTTGAGTAAATGTTGTTGACCACTTAAAATGTCCTTTGTATTCCCAAACCGTTTTGATAGTATGAACTATTCGTGTGTGTTTATTGTTTAACCCAGTATTCAGCAATATTCAATCTATATGTCGGCGGTCTGTAAATAATCGAGTTTGGACCAGTTTATCAAATGACTGACATCATAAACATCGATAAGGATGCGATGGCATTCATCAACCAAATCAGCGAGCCTGACCAAGCATAGGTGGCTGAAGACCAGTTCTATCTCAGTTCTAACGCATAGCATAACATGTCGTTGCCATAGGTGATGACCCATCATAGTCTTATCCATTCCCAGCCGCCATTGTGCCCAATCGATCACAGTTTTAATGATCTTGAACCTGTTCTCTCTGATCGCAATACAGAGATTGGCCAACGAAGCATTGAGGTACAAACCAATACATTGCGTAACAATCGAAGGGGTGGCTATCAAAGTTAGTGCTTAGCTATCAATCCTGTATATATCTGGTGGTCTGGACGCGTTGCGTGATGCAAGACAGTGATGGCATCCTGTCTTCAGTCACATGGTAACTCAGACGCCACTCACCAACCATAACGGGGAATCGACACAAGGTGAAGCTGGTGCGAGTAAACAGCATTCTCCTGCCTTCGGAGTCGTAGCTGGCTGTAAGTGACTTCCTCAATGATGCTTCTCACTAATGGATGTTCTTGCCAGCTGGAGACTTTATGATAGAGAATGCTACTGATCCGGACCCAGGGGCGAATGCCTGATTGGAGCACCAATATCTTGTGTCCAGGTGCTCTGAGGGAAGTAATGACGTATAGCCTTCAATTCAGATTCAGCTGACTTCATAACGCTGCGTTAAAGGACATTGTTTGACCAGTCATAAAGACTACCAGATCTTTCTGAGCGGCAACCAGATATAGAGAATCTATTACATAGCTGTTCGCATGGTTAATCACTCTCGCTGAAAAGTCAGTTTATCATGTTAACTGTACCATAATATTCCAGTGCAATACGATCTACAGACGCACTAAAAATGCATCACAGACGCATTAGAGACGCACTACAGAAATACCACAAGAACACCGCAGCATACACATCTGAACACTACAGCAGCGGCTCCTGTTGCGTAGGTCGTTGCTTGTGCTTTCGGTCACTGTTTTGCATACTCATGCTTTTACAGAAAGTCGTGGTACAGCTGTATATATGTTACAGCCAAATTGTGAAACCAGTCATTTCGTAAAATGTCAAAACTTTTCAGTCATTTCCTGAAGTGCCTGAAAGTGTCAGTCGTTTCATAAAATGACTGAGTAAGTGAGTGAGTATGGTTTCACGCCGCTTTTAACAATATTCCAGCAATATCACGGCAGGGGACACCAGAAATGGGCTTCACACATTGTACCCATGTCGGGAATCGAACCCGGGTCTTCGGCGTGACAAGCGAACGCTTTAACCACTAGGCTACCCGACCGCCCCCATAAAATGACTGAACATTAAAGGCATACATTTCATGATATGACTAAGCTATTATCTAGAACTAACATGTGGAGCAATTATAAGGAGATAAGTAACTTCTTTTATTAGAGTTATGGCGGCCAAGTTTGAGTGAATAGAATATGGGATATTTAACTAATCAGGTGCCAGCGTTCCTAAAGTACTGGACTTCATTTCTGTACCATCTCGTTTGGGAAATTTTGATTAGCAAATGAAATCTTCGATGGTATTTTCTTTAGTCTGTAGATGCCATGACACTCAGAAACGAGAGGATGTATAATCTCACCGATATAATGGCGAGGCCTTCCCTTTCTGCATTAGGAACTCGTCGTTTTATTTCGTTTTCGAGAGACAGATATTTAGATATGCTGCACCCTCTCGTACCGTCAATTTGGAAACATCGACGCTTATTGACTAATTGGACTAAATTCCCCTTCCGCGACGTCCTATGGAGGTGTCCTCATACCTGTTTCGAAGTAACATATCTGATTTGAATGAAATTGTAAAATAGCACCACATAACTCGTAACAAGCTAAAAATATATGAGGCAATAAATGTCTAAATGTCGAGGTTATTATAAATCAGTGAGTGTCGACGACTTCAGCTGTCCGTTTCTTCAATGAACCAAATACAAAGTATCTTCAGCTTCAGATATACAACTTCATCAAGTGGTGCTGGAGATAAGCTTCTGTTCAATGAATGAAGGCGTTTATTGAAGTGTCTACTGAAATAATTGAAGCGTTGTAATGCATACATTTAGTGTCTTTATTGTTATTCCAACTTAAACTCTCGGGATTGACTAGGTCCCCGCTACACCCAACTTCCGAGATTGACTCGGTCCCCAATACCCCCAACTTCCGGGATGGACTGGGTCCCCACTACCCCCAACTTCAGGGATGAACTAGGTCCCCACAACCTCCAACTTCCGGGATGGACCAGGTCCCCATTACAGCCAACTTCCGGGTTTACTAGGTCCCCACTACCCCCAACTTCCTTGATTGACTAGGTCCCCACTACCCCAAACTTCCGGGATTGACTAGCTCCCCACTAAAGCCAATTTCCGGGATGGACTAGGTCCCTACTCCCCCTATCTTCCGGGATAGACCAGGTGTGCAGTATCCCCAACATCAAGGATAGACAAGGTCCCCACTACCCCCAATTTCAGGGAAGGATTAGTTCTTGTGTATTCCAAACTTCAGGGATGGACTAAATCCCCAGTACCCCCAAAATTCGAGAAGAAAATGGGCCCCAGTACCCCCATTGTCCGTGATGGGCAAGATCCCAAGTACCCCAAGCAACTAACTAACGAGGAAGTTGTGGTTTCAATGTATGGTGCCATCTTGCCTCGACGGTGTTGCTGACTCTTCTATCTTCTAATTACCAATCAAACATTATTTGATAATCAACAAAATGTTAGAAAAGAGAAACTGGGTTTTATACAAGTGCACTTAAGAACAAAGACATCACATCATTATGTTGGAGATTAAAACAGAAACTTTAAAGTGTGCATGGCTATATTATTAACAAAGTTTCCCACTCCTCGTGGCTTCTATTAACTGTAGACTAATGACGTCAGTCACCTCAGCCTACTATCCCATACATGCCTAACTAATTTATCTCTGTGGCCCAATGCATATAAGTTTTAATTTAAGGGGCAAAACCAATCATCATGATTGTTTTTGATGTCACAGCGACAACGTTTACAACATGGCGACGGCTAAGTTTATTTGTTTCAAACGGAAACATGTTTTCCTGTTTACAATTTTCATGATACATGAAATGTTCTGTGGTAAAACGGTTCAAAGGCGTAATTTGTGTCCAGATAAGGCAAATCGATTTGTAAATAGGTTTGAAAGTAGGTAAATGCCAATGTTGGTACACTCTTCAGCTGCACAAGAGTGTTATTGCGAGACTGTTTGGAAAAGATTCCACTAAACAAAGAGTATTCCTTCACACCCAGCCATTAGCCATCCGAGGGGGCGACAAGTATCTAGTAGCGAAACGCTTTGATGCCGCCACTTGTCGAGTACGTGCGTACCATGGTTCAAATAACAGTTGTAGACGTTGAAGTATCCGAATGTGTTTTAATATACAAATATAGACTCGCTAAGGGTTGTCAGTTGTTTGAAGATGTTGACAGACAGGTATAAGGAAACGATAAACACATGTTTTTCAGAACATCCAACCCGTCCACAGAATTATATTTTGTCAGGAACACATTTTTAGGGATCTACATCCTTCGATAAACACTGTATACATATACACTGCCACTTGTACATGCTTGTGTGAACGCTCTGTGGTAACACCTGTGGCATGATCGGATAGTCCCTTATGAAGTTTTGTATCACAAAGGTGAACATTGGTAAAATCATTGGATCCGTTTCCTGGGTTGATTAATGTCATACTGACCATATGAGATTCATACAATTGACTCATTCTTCGAAACCATTGCAGCTATGCAGATGTATATGTATTCAGTTATTTATTGTCGATCCTTGAGCCAATGCAACTACAACATTAGTCATTGTGTACTTCCTGAATGAAGACTTCCTGGTTACGTTAGAAATATAGCTTACAATGGAAGAGAATATATGGATGCCTCATGCCATTCATTCACCTGATGAAGGAGCAAGCATATGCTCCAAAACGTTGTGTTCCTCATAATAAAGAAGTTGACATCCATATATTCTCATCCTTAAGTGTATCACTTCTAAATGCCTTTCAAAGACCTAATATAGCTTACGTGTTAAGGCAAATTGTGTTCCTGCAAATTGTGTTTTTCTTGACAGTAAACGTTTCTTTAACATAAAAAATAAATTAACCGGGGATTAAAATCGAAGATATTGTTACCAAAATACCAAGGAAGCTGACACTTTTATTAATGATTGATTATGACAATACTTAGTTTACGTTCGTAAGAGGCATCATGATTGGCCATTAACTATGATCTATGTAGATGACTTGAAGACATTTATAAATCCGGTAACTTCATCATGAATGGAATTTTTCCAAAGTGTTAAAATGTAAAGCCATAGAAGACTGGGGTATATATTTTTATAGCTGGAAGTTCTGAATTCACAAAGTATTCTTTTGGACATACTGATTGTGAAAGAAGAAAATGAAGCGCTCTGCTTAAAAAAGTTTATATATTTTTATGAAAGGAGTAAATTTAAATCCTCTGAAAATACATATGTAGGTGATTATGTTGTTATCAGTGTGTACACGAGTCTGCTAAAGTTGCTTGCATATAAATTAAATTGCCTGATTTCTGCTGTCCCAGATTTCCCTTCCACACTGCTTTCTCAGTATATACCTACAAGAACTGTCAGATCAGAAAACCAGATGTTCCTTCAAGTCCCAAGACCCAAACTCAAATCCATTGGTCACAGGGCGTCCAACTTCACTTGTTCTATTCTCTGTAACTCTTCTTCTTCTTCCGAAGGGCAAATGAACTATTTTGAATGTGACTTCATTCCACAGTATGCTTAAGTTATCTCAGCAAAATTCATGTATATGATGTATAACAGTCACGTAGTGTTCGCACAAGAAGGCATCTGAAAAATAACAATATAGGTCGTGTAAGGTGAGCTACAAATTCCCTGGCTCCATAGGCGTTTGGAAGGTTTGTGCTGACACTGACATTATTAGCACTGATACATGTTGGCAGATTTATACATATGTATGGAGATCCGACCTACATCTCGTTTCCAGCCGATAGAGTAACCAGTTTTCAAAACTAGCGAATATCCAAACTGCATATTATTACTACCTTTACCTGACTAGTAGCAAACACTGAAAATATATATTATTCCATTTGGATTATTGCAGTAAATAGATAAAATAATGTCATTATTGTCCAAACTGTTCAGTGCAGTACCTAACATCTGATGTTTCTATTCCCAGTGCTGACCATCGCCTGGACGAGCAGCGCAAGTCCCTGTGTGTGTTCCACCACGATGGCCAGATACTGTGGATGCCCCAGGCTGTGTACCGCAGTTCCTGCCAAATTGACGTGACCAAATTTCCATTCGATGTACAATCTTGTCATTTGAAATTTGGGTCGTGGACCTACAATGGACATAAGATAGATGTGGTTTTCTTTGCCAATAAAGACTACATAGATCTCACTGAGTACGTGACTAGTAACGCCTGGAAGATCATCGATGTGCCTGCTAATAAAAACATCAAGTACTACAGCTGCTGCCCTGAGCCTTATGTGGACCTGACCTTCAGTTTGATCTTCCAGAGACGAGCCACCCTGTATAACTACATCCTGATCCTGCCGTGTGTCCTTCTCACCTCCATCACCCTCATCCTCTTCTGGATTCCCCCAGAATCACCCGCAAAGATGCAACTTGGTAATGCCATATTTTATACATTATTATGCTACTATTTTCACGTACGTTAAATGCACGATAAGCCACAGTTTTATAATCTTCTTACATCGTAAACCAAATAGGTGTGATTCGTTAAACATATTTTCATGCTTTTTCTTATTGTTGTTATTTACCCATGTATTGTACCATACTCACTCACTAACTCAATAGGGAAATAAGTAACAGAACAAAGGATAGTACTGTCGGACAATACTGTAGTACTTGATATGTATTTAGCTATATACTGTCGTATAGAAGCATCTGTACAATTCGGTATGTGCGTCTCTTTTTTTTCAACATGCTTCTTCCTGAAAGGTTTATCCTTTCATTGCACCAGATGTAGAGAGTAATCGTTGCCTTCCTTCACACGTGCATGATAGTGATACTTCAAATACAACATTGTCCAATATTCTATCATATTTCGATTAATGTAAATGTATATTACATACCCATTCACTCACTGTCACGTTTGATTGATGGTAGTATTTTGACCACATGCATGTCTGCAGTCAATGGAATAATTCATCTAATACACCTGGGTATATTACGAGCCTAATATCATTTGACACTTTAGACATTTTTGATAAATGCAACTAATCTACAAATTTAACTACCACCCCATGTTCACGGGAATCTCGCTGTACAGGCATCCTAATTGAGGTGGTGGATGCGAATATTGGAACGAAACAACACTGAAATATAAAACACATTACTTTAATGCGAATGCCTTCTTTATTCTTGGACGCTATATTCTCCTTTTCATCATAACATATTATCATTACATACATAGTCATAATGTTGGCAAGTTCAGCAAAGCTAAGGAGGCCATGTGCTTCTTGAATTCAGATTCACGGTGAACTCACATCGCTACATAGCTCCTTTGTAAGTGCATAAATAGCATATAAATATATCTTAGCATTAATGTTTTGGAACGGAAATCGAAAGTGAGAATAACTAATATAAAAGAAAATCCTTGTTAATTCTGACATGGTAATAGTTATCACCATGTGGATCTGTAACTGAACTGAAGAGAAAATGACATATTTGATGAGGTCGATAAACAGCGCACAGTGTCATGAAAAATACAGATCAGTGTAGCAAAGTTTCTTTATTGATGTCTTCTGTGATGATTAAACTGGTTTTCCCTGACGAAGCCTCTCAATAAACATTAACTTGAAAGAGATGTAAACATGAAAATTCACTTTCGCAAATGAATGTAGTGTCGTGTTATTTTGCCATCGATAACGTCTACGAGGCCATGTGTTATGTGTTTTTTATGGAATGTATAATGTACCATTTAATTAGGGGATATTCAGCTTCATATACGAAGGGATTAAACAGAAGGAAATCAGCTATAGGGAACAAATGCTTGCCCGTTATGAGGTGTTGGAAGGAGTTTACCTGTCGCTGTATAATGTTCTTTGTGGATATTGCCTTTTTAAGGACGCCATTGCAAAATATTTGGAAATAACTTTGTATTCTCGAGCTGTTTCTTCTCGCTAGAGGAGAAATATCATCTGTGACGCATACGCCCAAGTAGCAGCATGTGTATGTTTGTACAAATGAAATACCCGTAGAACAGGCAAATAACCATGATGTCATCAAAACAGCAACAGAAAAAACACAAACATTATCACTTTCTTTAAGTTTGAAGTTTTGAATGATGATCTGAACAGCCGTTTTGTTTATATGTCCTGAAACTGTGTCTAGGCTTCCTTTTGTCTAAGACAGATGTGAACACCAATCTAAATGATGTGTTGATATAATTATGTTTTCTACTCAGTGGGATGTGTAAATATGCTTCTGTCCATTATTGATGTATATAAACATATACACTTCGGACTGAATGGTGTGTGTATTAAAACCTCTTTCTGAATGGTGTGTATATAAACGTCTGTCTGAATGGTGTGTATATATATTTCTATCAGAATGGTGTGTATATATAGTTTTGTCCGAATGATGTCTATATACATACTTCTGTCTGACTGATGTTTTTGTGTATACTTCTGTCTGAATGATGAGTATATACAGACTTCTATCTGAATGATGTCAATATATACTTATGTCTAAATGATGTGTGTATATACTTCTGTCTGAATGATGTCTATATCTACTTCTGTCTGAATGATGTCTATATCTACTTCTGTCTGAATGATGTCTATATCTACTTATATCTGAATGATGTCTATATCTACTTCTGTCTGAATGATGTCTATATCTACTTCTGTCTGAATGATGTCTATATCTACTTCTGTCTGAATGATGTGAAAATATACTTCTGTCTGAATGATGAATGGTGTGTGTATACATTATGATATACTTCTGTCTGAATAGTATGTACATATACTTCTGTCTGAATGATGTACATGATGTGTAAAGAAATTCACAAAATAATAACACGACAAGGATTGTTCTCCTGCATGTTTCACCTTTATCTTCAGGGAGAAGTCACATGGAAAGACATGTAGCAGAGGAATCCGTATATATATACACTTCTGTCTGAATGGTGTATACCTGTCTGAATGATGTGGATATGAAGACTTCTGTCTGAATTTTCTGAATTCTGAATAATATATGACTGATGTGTACAAGTACCTTGGTCTGCATGATGCCTATACTTGCTTCGTCTGAGTAATGTGCATATCTACTTCTGTCTGCATATGCTTCTGTATCTAACGGGGAGTGTATATGCTTCAGTCTCTCTGAAATGATATGTATGTAACATTCTATGTTCAAGGGATTTGTATTTATGCGCCTGCCAGTGAGTGATGTGTACATATGTTTCTGCCTGTCAGGATTTTTGTATTTGATGCTGTCTCTAACAGATAACTTGCCGCCATTTCTTTTAGAAGTTCCCCCAGACATTTCGACATATCAGTTTTTATCAGCTCACCTTGCGCGAAGGCAACGTGAGCTTATGTCCCTTTACATTTGTGTACATTTTTCTTTGACCCTCTTCTTCACCTATGAACGTGAAGCAATGTATGATACGGAAGTTTGTATCATTTTGCATTTTCATTCTGATAAGCTGGATCTCTTTTGCACAACATCAGTTATACTCGATTTCATAAACTGAACCTCTCCCCAAAACAGTGCAGCAATAGTTTGAATCTTTGAAGAGACGTTACGGTTCTTGGCCGCACTTTTGATTGTGATTTTTGCGCCCTTTCGTAATCCAAATTAAACGCCGAGGAAGCCAAATTAGATGTCATCACCTTCATCCCCGGCACTGCTCCAGCAGCAGAGCGGAAACTGTGCAGGGATGTTGAACCTATGGTCTTTCTTCCGTTTGGGAACACGTGTACTATCCGTCATCAGACATGGCGGCCACGATCGCCCTTCGTTAAGATAAAAATAACCAATAAATTTAGTAATGTTTGAGGCTCTTCTCCATCACTGCCCATACATCTAAAAACAGTGTGTGAATGATAACTTACCATAAGTAGTTCAGGCATAGCTAAGGCATCAGCATCGTCATTCAACTTCAATCGTTGTAACCGATATTGGGAAAACACCATTATCGACGTCTTCCCTCGAACCGTGTAATGAATTTGGTTGAAACATGTGCTGGGTGCTCATGATCATAAATGGACTCAATGTTTCAAGGTTATCCAGATTAGGAGAATTAGTGCTTGATTTTCGAAGAAGGCATAACAACAGAAATTTCATGTTAACAAAATCACATGAAGTGCGTTTACATCACGAAATGATATATCTAATATATATAATGTTTACGAGTATTTCAAATAATAGTGTTGACTTTGGGAATTATACGTTGCACTACTGGCAAGGTTCTACATGACGAAGGTCGGTAAAGTATTCGCCGATAAATGAATCTTCATTGATGCATATCTGTGGCACTAATTATAAACATACCTGTAATATTATATGCAGTGGTTTTGGTTCACTAAGACCTTCGGCTATGAACACATTCATAGATGCACACAAACGCAAATAACGTCCATTTTTCCCTGATTTGAAGTCATTTTTCAAACAGATCAAAGTTAGTCCTTAAATTATGAGACCACTGGATTCTTTATGCTTGTGTGCATATAAAAAAAGTTGATAGGAAACCTAATTGGTGTGAAGCCAGTATTTCAACAGATATAGCATGCGCGAGACCGGTTAGTGTTTCCTCAGAATGCTTGCTTCAGTTTACAAATATAGATTTAGTCAGGTGAGCTACAAATCATTTTTTCTACTGTGTTCAGTGTGCAACAGTTTATATTCCTTTTCTATGCAGGTCTTACCATCTTCATAGCCTTTTTCATCCTGCTGAAACTTTTGGAGAAAAATTTGCCACCCGGTACAACGAAAATGCCGGTACTAGGTAATGTTTTTCATTTAAAATAGTGCAAGGTGCATGGTTGGTAATGTGAGCATGACATATATTACTTTTACGAATTACTGCAAAATACTTACTATAGATATTATTAATGTGTTACTGTAAACCATTTTCATAAAACTTATAATTTTTCCGGCATATGCATTGAGGAACGTGAAAATATGTGTATGCCTTTTTAAGATGATTGTATTGGAGAACTGTAATATTTCTCCTGGAACGTGTCAAGGAATCCCGTACCATTTCCCTTCAGAGGGTTGTGACGGTATTTCACAATATGTGATCATGTATGTGTCGTTGTAGGTATCTACTACTGCCTCAACATGGTGATCATTACTCTGTCCTCCTTCCTCAACGTTCTGGTGGTCAACCTTGCAGCATATGGTCAGCGTGCTAACCTTCCCGCCCCTGCAAAATCTGTAAGTCGTAATCCACATACCACCTCACTGTATAAGTATACCTCATGCCATCTGAATAGAAGTATATCACATGCCATCGGACTGTATAAGTATACCACATGCCACCTGACTGTATAAGTATATCACATGCCATCGGACTGTATAAGTATACCACATGCCACCTGACTGTATAAGTATACCACATGCCATCTGACTGTATAAGTATACCACATGCCATCTGACTGTATAAGTATATCACATGCCATCGGACTGTATAAGTATACCACATGCCACCTGACTGTATAAGTATACCACATGCCATCTGACTGTATAAGTATACCACATGCCATCTGACTGTATAAGTATATCACATGCCATCGGACTGTATAGGTACACCACATGCCACCTCACTGAATACGTATACCACATGCCATCTGACTATCACTAATCCACATGCCATCTGACCGTATCACTAATCCACATGCCATCTGACTGTATAAGTACACCACATGCTATCTGACGGTATAAGTACACCACATGCCATCTGACTCTGTCGCTATATGGCTGAAATATTGCCGATGTAAAATAGAATTGAAATTAACGTCATCTGACTCACTAATCCACATTAACTTTGACTATATAAGTATACCACATTACACCTGACTGTGTAACCAATCCACATGCCATCTGACTGCATAAGTCTACATGCCATTTGTTTATATATGTGCACCTCATACTAGTTTACTGTACCTGTTCACTACATGTGATCTACTTCTTACACTGGATACTACATAGTATCGCGCCCTATCAATATACCACATGTCCAATTTCTCAACACGTGTTATCTTGTCCTTTTGAATCACATATCATGTTGCACTATTCTAATGCAAAAGTCGATATGGTATATGTTCTATGGGTAAAAACCTCTTCCCTGTGTTGCAGGTACTGTTTGACGTGTGTGCAAAGGTCCTCCTGATGAACGATCTAGTGCGGCCCTTCAAACCGGATTCCTCCAAACCAGCGACAATCGTGAAAGACAAACTGGGAGAAATTGACAACAAGTGGAGCGATGATCCAATGGCGTCGACGGAGGTTCTCGTGCACCTGCAGAAAGAATCCAATCTAGCTCCGCCCCCGGGGCCACCCGTGGACAACACGTTACGTCAATCAACGGGACTCTTGGTCGCCATTGACACAAAACTATCGGACTTGCGCGACTTCATACAGGGGCACAAGCAGCGCCTTTCCGACAAGGACAAGCGGGAGCGCCTCGTGAAAGAATGGAAGGCTATTGCCCTCATTCTGGACAGAATCTTCTTTGTTATATACTTTGGCATTATCGTTGCATCACTTGCTGTCATCATTCCAATCATCACCTTCAGTGGCCAGTACACGAACACGACACTGGCAGAGGCTTTGCCACATACGTGAGAATCGTTGTCTCTGAATTCTTTCTGAAAACATTTCCACCAGATGCCAAATTGCTTCATGGTTTTGTCTAAAATGTTAAGGTGGATAACATGATGTTTACGAACTCTTCCAAACATAATGACAATAGTTAGATATGCATATATATTTATGTAGCGGTATCATTATGTAAAAGATCGTTTATGCATAAAAATAACTCATGCATCATTGAAACATCTTTATATACACCAGTGCGTTCGTTATGTATTGTCTTTAAGCAAGCAAACGCTTGAGAATGAGGTGATAAAAGTTGACATTTTAAGGTAAGGTGATACGTTGATCCACAATGTATAGAGAGACATGTATTTAAAAATGGTGCACAAGAACATTGGTTTTGAAGAAATTCATAAATAGGTATCCAAGATGTGCCTACCATTGTGCCAGTCTTAACGTCAGGCAACTGGAAGGACATAGTCACTTGATTCGATCCTAAGATTCTATTTAAGCATGATCAAAGATAACCACAGGCACAGACAGATGGACACAACTGCATATGTGACATAGCTGGTAACTATACAACCTATATGACAACACCACACGGCCAGGCACGCGCACAGGCACAGGAAGATGGACGAACCAATATCTCCGATACGTTGTGTTGTGATCTCGACAAGCTATATGACAACACCACACGCCCAGGAACAGGAAGATGGACGAAGCAATGTCCCTTCTATGTTGTGTTGCGATCTCTACAAGTTCTATGACAACACCACACTCACAGGCACAGGAAGATGGACGAAGCAATGTCCCTTCTATGTTGTGTTGTGATCACTACAAGCTCTACGACAACACCACACTCACAGGCACAGGAAGATGGACGAATAAATATCCCTTCTATGTTGTGTTGTGATCACTACAAGCTCTACGACAACACCACACTCACAGGCACAGGAAGATGGACGAATAAATATCCCTTCTATGTTGTGTTGTGATCTCTACAAGTTCTATGACAACACCACACTCACAGGCACAGGAAGATGGACGAAGCAATGTCCCTTCTATGTTGTGTTGTGATCACTACAAGCTCTACGACAACACCACACTCACAGGCACAGGAAGATGGACGAATAAATATCCCTTCTATGTTGTGTTGTGATCTCTACAAGTTCTACGACAACACCACACTCACAGGCACTGGACGATGGACGAATAAATATCCCTTCTATGTTGTGTTGCGATCACTACAAGCTCTATTACAACACCACACTCACAGGCACAGGAAGATGGACGAATAAATATCCCTTCTATGTTGTGTTGTGATCACTACAAGCTCTACGACAACACCACACTCACAGGCACAGGACGATGGACGAAGCAATGTCCCTTCTATGTTGTGTTGTGATCACTACAAGCTCTACGACAACACCACACTCACAGGCACAGGACGATGGACGAAGCAATGTCCCTTCTATGTTGTGTTGCGATCTCTACAAGTTCTATGACAACACCACACTCACAGGCACAGGACGATGGACGAATAAATATCCCTTCTATGTTGTGTTGTGATCTCTACAAGTTCTATGACAACACCACACTCACAGGCACAGGAAGATGGACGAAGCAATGTCCCTTCTATGTTGTGTTGTGATCACTACAAGCTCTACGACAACACCACACTCACAGGCACAGGAAGATGGACGAAGCAATGTCCCTTCTATGTTGTGTTGTGATCACTACAAGCTCTACGACAACACCACACTCACAGGCACGGGAAGATGGACGAATAAATATCCCTTCTATGTTGTGTTGTGATCTCTACAAGTTCTACGACAACACCACACTCACAGGCACAGGACGATGGACGAATAAATATCCCTTCTATGTTGTGTTGCGATCACTACAAGCTCTATTACAACACCACACTCACAGGCACAGGAAGATGGACGAATAAATATCCCTTCTATGTTGTGTTGTGATCACTACAAGCTCTACGACAACACCACACTCACAGGCACAGGACGATGGACGAAGCAATGTCCCTTCTATGTTGTGTTGTGATCACTACAAGCTCTACGACAACACCACACTCACAGGCACAGGACGATGGACGAAGCAATGTCCCTTCTATGTTGTGTTGCGATCTCTACAAGTTCTATGACAACACCACACTCACAGGCACAGGACGATGGACGAAGCAATGTCCCTTCTATGTTGTGTTGTGATCACTACAAGCTCTACGACAACACCACACTCACAGGCACAGGACGATGGACGAAGCAATGTCCCTTCTATGTTGTGTTGCGATCTCTACAAGTTCTATGACAACACCACACTCACAGGCACAGGACGATGGACGAAGCAGTGTCCCTTCTGTGTTGTGTTGCGATCACTACAAGCTCTACGACAACACCACACTCACAGGCACAGGACGATGGACGAAGCAGTATTCTCAAAACGTGTGTTGTGATCTCTACAAGCTCTATGACAAAAGCACACACCCAGACACAGGAAGATTGACTTACCTATATCCCCGATACGCTGCGTTGTGATCTACACAAGCCAACACCACAGGCACAGACATATGGACACACCCACATCTACGAACAATGTACTGTTGTCTGTACATTCAAACTACATGCGACAGGCACAGGCAGATGGAGTTATAGACCTCGGCACCTATACAATACAGGCTTTTTGATAACTGATGGACACCCTGCAGTATCTACCGTAACCAATGTGCATTATCCAGAACCGAAGCTGAAAGGGTTGGGAAGGGATATGGGTCCTTCCCTCTTCTAATCGCAAGACCGGGTATAATACGGGGCCTGCTACTTCTACTGATCAACTTTTTATAAGTGAATTATAATAACATTTTTTTACAAATGACGTTTTTCCATTTTAGTTAGCCATATTCTTGTCATCAAATTGATTGTGTGCCATAACTTTTCCGTGGAGTCTTTTACATATTCTAGCAACTAGATAAAGAACATTACGTTTACTAATTCTTTCTTCGGACACTCTTACATATTACTTATAACTTAGTGGGTGATGTAGATAAATCTAACATTATAACACTTTATAGCTTAATGTGAAACGCCCTAAATCTGGACAGTAGCATTCTCAGGGAGTCGTCCAGTTAAATAATTGTTCGAGTTTGTCCGAATCATGGCAATCAGTGTATACATGTAAGCGCACCAAGTAGTTACCATCCGGGGTGTGGGGTTTTGGTATCGACAGGGTCCAGATTACTGAGGTTTATGGTGATAGAAGTAGCCCAAGGGTAATGATTTCAATGGGTACAATATCAATTCTGATGTTAGCGTTGATACAACGCTGTAGATGTATTATTGCCTGACATTGATGTAAGTGTTTATACAAGGATGTAGATGTGTTATCGCTTGACACTGATATGTGTATTTCATAGGGAGGGGCCATCTGATGTTGGCCTTGACATCATATATTACACGGGGGATGGAAATAACATGGCACTTTGATGTAGTATACGGTATTTTGTGTTCATAGAACATTAATAATCAGTTTATCATTTAAGCACCTATATAAGTCACATGGACCCAGGGCACTTTGCCCCTGAGGATATGAATAAAACAAGGCCCTGCACACAGTAATTGGTCAGCTCTAGAACAATAAGACAAACACTCTGTAAACTTGACAATTGCAGATCTTGGGGCTCTGTGTATATTAACTGGTCAGCTCTAGATCACAAGTCAAACATACTGGACAAATCTGAGCCGTGTAATTCTTCGGACAGTCTTCGGACAGTCTTCGGACAGTTTTCGGACAATCTTCGGACAGAGAACTGTCACCCTGACATTTGTTCAAGGAGACGGGACCGGTCAGCAGATGGTTCCGATGTGTAAACACAGTTCAGTTGCGATTCCATATCTACGACGAGGCCGTGTTTCTTATTATGGAACTGTGTATATTGATGGTATAACCTCTCTCTAAGCTGCTATTCAGTTATTCAACATTCTACGTTAAATGTCTGTATGTACGCTTTATTCCTTGGAGACAAGCAATTGAGATATACAGCGCGAAATTCTTTGTTTCCGCTAGAACAGTAAATCATGTGCTTCAACATTCCTAGATTTCTTTCCGATAAGTTCCGATGTTTTAGTTATTCATTTGCCGAGCATACCGTATTGCAGTCTGTCATACTTAGCTGCCACTGTGCCTCAACGCCCACCCACACCACCTCCACCCACCCCTTCTCCACGCACCCACAACGCCCACCATCCCCTCTCAACGCACCCACACCACCCAGTCAGCCCGGTCAGTCTTTCTCAGTAACAATTTTATGATGCGGTCGTTCTTATCCGTTGCCATATCTTACATCACTCTTAGCGACGTTAGGGTCCTTATCACACATATCTCTGTCCGACCTCTTTGGGTCCTCATCACACATCACTCTGTCCGACATCTGTGAATCCTTATCACACATCACTCTGTCCGACATCTGTGAGTCCTTATCACACATCACTCTGTCCGACATCTGCGGTATCTGTGACACATCAGCGGGTTCATGTCACACATCACTTAGTCCAACATCTGCGGGTTTATATCACACATCACTCTGACCGACATGTGTTGGTTCATTTCATACATTACTTTACCTGACAACTGAGGGTTACAATTACACATCACGTTTCCAAACATCTGCGGTTCAAATCATACATTACACTCTCCGTCATTTGCGGATTCATATCAAACATCAATTTACCCGACATCTGCGGGGTTCATAACACACATTGCTTTACCCGACATCTGCGGGTGCATATCACACATTGCTTTATCCGACATCTTCGGGTTCAGATCACACATTACTTTACCCGACATCTGCGGGTGCATATCTCACATTACTTTACCCATTATCTGCGGGTTCATATGACACATCGCTTTACCCGACATCTGCGGGTTCATATCACACATTGCTTTACCCGACATCGGCGGATTCATATCCTACATTGCTTTACCCGACATCTGTGGGTTTATATCACACATCGCTTTACCCGACATCGGCGGGTTCATATCACACATTACGTTACCCATTATCTGCGGGTTCATATCCTACATTGCTTTAACCGACATCTGCGGGTTCATATCCTACATTGCTTTAACCGACATCTGCGGGTTCATATCACACATTGCTTTAACCGACATCTGCGGGTTCATATCACACATTGCTTTTACCGACATCTGTGGGTTTATTTCACACATTGCTTTACCCGACATCTCAGGGTTTATTTCACATATTGCTCTACCCGACATCTGCGGGTTCATATCACACATTGCTTTACCCGACATCTGCGGGTTCATATAACACATTGCTTTACCCATCATCTGCGGGTTCATATCACACATTGCTTTACCCGACAACTGCGGGTTCATATCACATATTGCTTTACCCGACCTATGTGGGTTCATATCACAAGTAACTCTGTCCGTCATCTGCGGGTTCATATCACACCCGTCCTTCGTTACCATGTCATACAAATCTTCATTATCCGTCCTTTTCAGCATAATATCGCAATACAATATCACGCATATCACACAATCCACTATCACACATCCCACACATTAAGATATCACACATCCCACACGTTACAATATCCCACATCCCACACAAAACAATGTCACACATCACACTCAGTACAATATCACATATATCACACAATACACGTTACCATGTGAAAGATTAAACACAATACCACGACGACGAGATATGTTAGCCCGTGGATATTTCAACTGTTAATACAAATAGTACTCCAACACAATTCCCCCCATCATCAAATCTGTATCACGTAAAACTCCGCAGTATACCTGACATTTACCACGACACCATATCCTGACCCATGACACCCTGTCGTATGATATAATTTGGACGCCAGACAACCTGTACTCTACTACCATATGTCACAACACAATGCGCCGTGTGCAATGTAAAACCCAAGACACCCTGTGTTGAACTGCCGAACACCACAACACACCCTGCTTTATGCAATATTTAGTCTCAAGACAACCTATTTTACACACGGACCCCTGTCGTACACTATTATCCGGACAATGCGCCCTTTCCTACACCATCCTTATGGCAGACACTATTGTATGCTGTCATATGTCACAAGTCACCCGGTCATCACCATTGCAAGACATCCTGCCCAATACTACCATGTGCCTCAAAACGCCATGTCCTATACTTTGCTGTATACTATCATTTAACTGAAGACACCCTGTCCTGATCTGTCTTGTGTCACAACACACCCTGTCCTACTCGACTATGTGGCTCGATTCACTTTGTCCTATAACCCATGTCTGTATGCATGTCACTCGGAGCACTTTACCACCAACACTTGCCAAAGATCACATTATTGCTGATTATGTATCATACTTGCAAAACAGTTATTAAATGGTGCTAGATCTACTCCATGTATTTGTCCTTCCTCTGTAGTGTGCTACAGGTATAATCCGTGGGTTAGACTTGGTCCCCAGTAATCTATGCTAGTCGTCATACGGGAATAGGTTGGTCAGGCTCGGTGGCTTGGTTGAAGGCTTGTCAGCGTACCCAAGCGATGTGGACCATTGCTTATAATATAAATCACTGGATTCAGATTCGATTATTCACAGGCTGCCGTCATATACCTGGGATATATGAGTGCGGTATTAAACACCAATCTGGTGTTATCAGCAGTTACGTCAGGATACTACTGCTATGTCGTAAACTACATGACAGATAATGGCAGTCGACACGCTGAAGAGATTTAGATACAGAATGTCAATACAGGCAAATACAGCACAGAAGGATAGTAGACAGGGGGCATTAAGGCCCGGTAAAAGCGAAAGTAGACAGGTACAGCATATCAACGCGTTAGAGAGTGGGTGAAGACAGGTCCAGTAGACCAAAACGTTACAGAGTGAGTGAATACATATGCAGTAGACCAACACGTTACAGAGTGAGTGAAGACAGATGCAGTAGACCAACACGTTACAGAGTGAGTGAAGACAGATGCAGTAGACCAACACGTTATAGAGTGAGTGAAGACAGATGCAGTAGACCAACACGTTATAGAGTGAGTGAAGACAGATGCAGTAGACCAACACGTTACAGAGTGAGCGAAGACAGATGCAGTAGACCAACACGTTACAGAGTGAGTGAAGACAGATGCAGTAGACCAGCACGTTACAGAGTGAGTGAAGACAGATGCAGTAGACCAACACGTTACAGAGTGAGTGAATACATATGCAGTAGACCAACACGTTACAGAGTGAGTGAATACATATGCAGTAGACCAACACGTTACAGAGTGAGTGAATACATATGCAGTAGACCAACACGTTACCGAGTGGGTGAAGACAGATACAGTAGACTAACACGTTACAGAGGAACTGTAGACAGTGGTATTATATCAACACGTCACAGAGTGAACGTAGACAGGTACAGTAGACCAATACGTTACAGAATGAACGAAGACAGTTACATTATTCCAACATTTCATGGAGTGAGTGAAGACATATGCAGTATACCAACACGTTACAGAGGGAACGTAGACAGGTACAGTGTACCAACACATTACAGAGTGAGCGTACACAGCTTATTATATAAGTAGACCAACATGTTACAGAGGGAACGTAGACAGATACAATGTACCAACACATTACAGAGGGAACGTAGACAGGTACAGTGTACCAACACATTACAGAGTGAGCGTACACAGCTTAAGTAGACCAACACGTTACAGAGGGAACGTAGACAGATACAATGTACCAACACATTACAGAGTGAACGTACAAAGGTAAAGTAGACCAACACGTTACAGAGGGAACGTAGACACTCACAGTAGACCAACACGTTACAGCGTAAACGTAGACAGATACAATGTACCAACATGTTACAGAGGGAACGTAGACAGGTAAAGTAGTCCAACACGTCACAGCGTAAACGTAGACAGATACAGTATACTGACATGTTAGACAGTGAAAGGAAACATGTACAGTAGATCAACACGTTTGGGAGTCAAAGTAGGCAGGTACAGTTGACCAACATGTGACAAGATTGTTTTCAACGCATTTCTTAAATAAAACAACTTTCATTTCAAAAAGTGTGTGTTTTAATGTAAGAAACATTCCTTGACTTTATAGGTTAGGCAAAAAAAATAAACTCGTAAATAAAAAGTGACAAAATTAATTTCCATAATCATAAGAAATCTCAACTGAAAGCACAACCCATGGTACGATTCCGACAATATCATAAGCATGAGTTTATAAATCACTGTCCAAGAGTGATGATACCAGGTGTTCGCGAATAGGTGAGCGTATCCTGCCCCACTGGTGTCACCCGTCACAAACACATGTAAAAGCAGCTAATTGTTCAACTGAAAAAAAATAAATGATGATAAAAAAGTAATTTAAAGGATACGGATTAGGGACGTTTGACCTATTTTAGAAGAGTCTCTTGTCCTGTGGAAAGTGTAAAGCCGCTCACCCCATCAGTCTTACCAATGACAATAGTTCAGCACGTTGCTTCCACATGATCGAGCGTGTGTTGGAAAACCCGAGTCTCAAGCAGAGCCGAAGTGTCAATATGATATTGCTCAAGGTGTTTATGTGTTGGCCAGACCTCGGAGAGGGGATATTCTGACACATATTAGGTTTGACACTAATGCCAATTACATGTGCTTTCCTATCAAAAGAGGGATCTGGAACATTAGATTCAACTAAAGGGGGCTGACTTTCCAGCAAGTCAATACCATTCACTGGGTTCCACCAGAACGACGTAAGACCTTCTAATAGAGCATCATTTTTGTGCTGACAAAGCCCACATTGATGTTGATATTGTTGTTACTGGTTGTGCATCTTTGCAATGGTCAAAGATTCCGCTTTGTATAGATACAGGACATAGTTTGGGCCAGTACTGAACGCCCCGATAACCAGAATCAGGTAGACTATGTATATGACAAATTCTGCAAACCGAATAAGAATGCCCAGTGTTTGGGATGTCAATCCAGCAGCCAATATATGTTATGTACACGCCCTTTTCTTGCTCAAAACTTGATATCTGATGATTCCCTATTTTGACTTGTACCAGTTCCTGTGTTTGTTCAGGTGAATATTTGACTTGCCTTTGCATGTGTTTGTGACGAGTGCCGGGTGTGGCAGGATATACTTACCCTTTCGCGAACACCTGGCATCATCACTGTGTGACAGTGATAAACACATGATTCTTTTATCGTCGGAATCATACAATGAAGTTTTAGTGGAGATTTCTTTTGATTATAGAACTGGTGTTTGTCACTTTCTATTTAAGAATGTTGACTGTTATGCATTGATCAGCTTCATTCAAACCATAAAGTCAAGGTGTGTTTCATACATTACATTGAAGGCTTTTGAAATTAAAGTCGTTTTATTTTAGAAATAAGTTGAAACAATCGTGTTAGAATACTGTGTCTGTTCAACACCGCTTTGAACAGTATTTCAGTTATACCACGGCCTGCTGTAGGAGGAAAGCCCGGAGTGATACATGTCCTAGACGCTTACTGCTTTGGTGAAACTCACTATCAGGGTTATGGTGCTGGCAAACCTAGAAACATAATCAGGACAAAACGGAATTCGGAGTTACGATCGCAGGATTCTTGCACCGTGTTCGCTTAAGGTTATAAATCTGTTAGCAGCAGTGAAAACTGAGGGTATAGTTCACATTAACTTGTATCCTGTCATGACATGTGGAAAACAGTAGAAATGTTACATTGTGACACTTATCAAGAGAGGAGAACGGTATCCCAGAAACAGGATTAGATACACGGCTGGCCAAGTCGTCCAATTGCAGATTTGCATCCGCGAGTTGTAGCTGTCTTGGGTTTAAATCGCCTTGATTATGATTCCACACTAGCTAGCACTCGTGATAATACTGAAATACTGCTCAGAGCATTGTAAAACTCAACTCACTCACTCACAGTGTACGTGATTATATAAAATATGTTGTAGTTGTCGTAGATCAGCTTCCGAGAAATCAATATGTGACCCTGACCCCACAGCATGGGGGAAATATAGTGGATACTGAGTCAACACTGTTGAACGTAGAATAATATACCACCAATAAAGTTTAAAGGCTAAGAAAGCTCCTGAAGTTGATATCGCAAATAACCCAATGGTCAAAGGAAGAGATGCCCTGCAGATAAATGTAGTACATACGTCACAGATGTATGGAGATGGAATATGGGGGCTAATGTAGTGCATACGTCACAGATGTACGGAGATGGAATATGGGGGCTAATGTAGTGCATTCGTCACAGATGTAGGGAGATGGAATATGGGGGCTAATGTAGTGCATACGTCACAGATGTAGGGAGATGGAATATGGGGGCTAATGTAGTGCATACGTCACAGATGTACGGAGATGGAATATGGGGGCTAATGTAGTGCATACGTCACAGATGTGAGGAAGATGGAATATGGGGGCTAATGTAGTACATACGTCACAGATGTAGGGAGATGGACTATGGTGGCTAATGTAGTGCATACGTCACAGATGTAGGGAGATGGAATATGGGGGCTAATGTAGTGCATACGTCACAGATGTAGGGAGATGGAATATGGGGGCTAATGTGGTACATACGTCACAGATGTAGGGAGATAGAATATGGGGGCTAATGTAGTGCATACGTCACAGATGTAGGGAGATGGAATATGGGGGCTAATGTAGTGCATGGGTCACAGATGTAGGGAGATGGAATATGGGGGCTAATGTAGTGCATTCGTCACAGATGTAGGGAGATGGAATATGGGGGCTAATGTAGTGCATACGTCACAGATGTAGGGAGATGGAATATGGGGTCTAATGTAGTGCATGGGTCACAGATGTAAGGAAGATGGAATATGGGGGCTAATGTGGTACATACATCACAGATGTAAGGAAGATGGAATATGGGGGCTAATGTAGTGCATACGTCACAGATGTAGGGAGATGGACTATGGGGGCTAATGTAGTGCATACGTCACAGATATAGGGAAATGGAATATGGGGGCTAATGTAGTGCATGGGTCACAGATGTAGGGAGATGGAATATGGGGGCTAATGTAGTGCATACGTCACAGATGTAGGGAGATGGAATATGGGGGCTAATGTAGTGCATACGTCACAGATGTAGGGAGATGGAATATGGGGTCTAATGTAGTGCATGGGTCACAGATGTAAGGAAGATGGAATATGGGGGCTAATGTGGTACATACATCACAGATGTAAGGAAGATGGAATATGGGGGCTAATGTAGTGCATACGTCACAGATGTAGGGAGATGGACTATGGGGGCTAATGTAGTGCATACGTCACAGATATAGGGAAATGGAATATGGGGGCTAATGTGGTACATACACCACAGATGTAAGGAAGATGGAATATGGGGGCTAATGTAGTACATACTTCTCATA